ATTACAAGATGGAGGTTTGGATCTGAAGTATACAATGCATATTTCCGCGAGCATTTAGGTGGTGAATGGAAGGGGAGAAGAGTCAAGCCATCTATAGACCTCTGCAGAAATCACCTTCTGAGCCCTGCCATCTTTGTTTGCTGGGTTTTAGAACGCCTTCTGAGCATGCGCTGTTGCTCTTCTGTGCGGTAGATCAGACCCTTCACATGCGTCCACAGCTCAGTGACTGAGTATTTTTTGCCCGGGTGATAAGCGATGCAAAGGTATATATATGCAAAGGCATAGTGAGGGTGTCGGGACTTACTTATCTATGCAAGCTGTCTGACGGCATTCTTAACGTGATCTACAACAAAGCCGATTTTATGGAGTCCCGCGGCCTGAAGTCTTTGAAAATGTCCGTGGAATGGGGGTAATTAATGCTTCACGTGCATTTCAAATCTCATTTATGGCGTGTCTCAGGGCAAACGACGAATCAGCTCGTGATCGTGGCCATGCACGAGGACCTCGGCACGTGCTGGTTTGCTGATTATTTGAACGCCTTTGCACTCCGTTTCATACTTCACATACAATGTTGTCAAAGCTACTGGCGCTTGCGCCTGACTTTATTTATGGTTTCGTTTGCGCGAGAACGCGTGCAAATGGTCTGGGAAATTAAACCCCATGCTCGCGCCCGCAGCTTTGACAGGGTTGTACACTAAGTATGAAACAGAATGATTGCAAACAGGGCATCTGGCGGCCGCCTTGTGCCTCCTCGTGTGAGCACGCACGTGCAACTGCAGGCCTGTAAAAGCTGTCTTCACGCGAAAGCTGCACGGGCTTGCACGCGCGAGGCACCGGTCAGGACACCATGCTTGCGAACGTCTATTGATCTTTTGGTGGCGCCCTCCTATGATTCCCTTTCGTGACGTCATTACCTCGCGAACAACAAGTTCGATGGTGTTTGTAATGAGCACGATGGAAGCTTGAAATCATTGCGCTCTGAAATCAAAACTGCCGTTCAAAATGAAGTTCTTAGATTACTCTTATTTCTGTCGATGAGAAGTCCTTTGCTGACGTCATGGTCAGCATTCGGCCAATCGTGGAAGCCCGACCACAACGACGCTTTCGACCGCGCACGTCGCCCATAGAAATAAATGTCATTTGAAATGCTTATTCGTGGTGAGAAGCTCGTGAGTGGCGCGGCTGTTTTCCTCATTATGGGCATTACACGTTTTTTTGCGCGTTTTTTTTTTCTAGTGCGTAGGAGCCTGAAGTATCCTCACTCTGGGTTGTGAAAAATTCCACCACGCGGCGATACCAAACTTCTTGCCGCGAATAGACAATTGTAAGCTGAACGCTCCGACTGGTGTCCCATGGGCACCAGCACGCAAAGCGTGCGCGTGAACGTGGTCTTCACAGGCTTGCAATTGCATGTGCTTGCCCGCACGTGCAGAGACATGGCGGCGGCCAGACGACCGGCTTACAATCGTCTATAAGGAGTTTTCACTGGACGCCATATTTGTGGGTCCTGTTTAGAGCGCATGCTCAGAACGAACTCACATTTCTAGGTTGCTAAGATCGGCAATCTTGATGGTGTGGAATGCACGTTGCAAAAAAACTGTGGAAGCTCGCCATGAGCACGCGCTCAGCAGTCGCACACACGGCTATGGCCGCCAGTGAATACTCGTTATAAGGAACACCAATCAGCAAACCAGCATATACCCCGATCAACCCCGATGCTCACGCGCAGAGTCGAGATCGGTAGCTGAATCACTGCTCTGAAGGCTGTTGAACTGCCAGTGAGACAGAGAAGATTGTAGCCCGTTTGTTATTCCTCCTAGTCCTCATTGTCTTAGGTTCGGGAAGCACGAAATGTGAATAACCTGCTGTATAGTTCAAAAAGATTAATAGAAAGTTAAGAAAAAAAGTGAGTACTTTAGTCAGGCGAAATTTGTGCTGCGTGGAATCGAAAACTAAAGTAAAATCTAGTATAAAATCGTCGTTAAGCATGCTGCATTTCAATGTTACACAAGTGCAAATCAAAATGATACGTGCAGCTGTACGCTCGCACCAGCAGCTTCGACAGCGTTCTACACACGCCTGAAATGGTGTCACTTTTGTAACCATGGCTTATTAGTTTCCATGAAGTAAGCAAAAGGACCCATTTTCTTTCGCGTTGACGGGTGCGATTTATAAGGTAGAGATTTTTATTTTCTCTGATGATGACTCTTTTTTTTCTCTTGTAAAAAGACAAAGCTAGTTTTTTTTTAAGATTTTGATTTATTTGTATATGCATATCTCAAAAGTTCATTGCAGAAGGCACACTCAATATAGATCGAAATTTTCTTGCGCGACGCGAGCAAAGCATTTCGCAAGGCTAAGCTTTCGCGCCTGTTACCCTGACGGTGTTACACGATACGTGAAGTTAAAACGGCTATCCTCACCCACACCTCGTGCTTGCTTTTAACAGTGATCAAATCAGATATGCTTGATTCAGAGTTTCCGTCAGAATAAATCTGACGGGGACTCCCAAACATGTGGGGCCTCTAAGAACCGTGTTTACTTCGAACCTAAAAACAACAACAGTATTTCTTGGTTAAAAGGAAGAGCTGATTGTAGCATCTCATACGTCAGTTGCCAAGTTATGTACAGTTTTATGCAGGGCGCAAACGCCCTGCGCGAAAAACAAAAAAAACAACAAAAAAACTCGCACATCAAAAATATATAGAATCCATCTGATCGTGCACGTGGTTCTCGCGAACCCTTGAAAAGAAGTATAGAAATCAAACTGGATCAGCAATTTCTTCAGTACAAATAACAGAACATATTAGTTCAATCGACGTAATAAAAAATAATTAATTAGCCAAAATGTTCATATTCGATTATTGTCGGCAAGTTCCTTCTCTCTGTAAATGCCAACGCGCGGCTTTAAAGCAGACTTGTACGATACTCACTAGAGATAATGAAATTACTTGTAATCAATTACTTTTTGGGGTAATTACGTAATTATTTGATTACATTCATCAAAAAGTAATCACACCTGTAATCTGATTACTTTTTAAAGTACTAAAACTACTTGTACCCGTTACTTTTTCTCGGTAGGAGACCTCAGACAGAAGGATGGTTTAACAAAATTGGTGGAGTAAGAAGATAAGTAGTTTATCATTTGGCGATTCTAATGCAAGGATGAACAGGGATAAACAAAAAGTGCCGTCTTGAAAAATGAAGTAATCAGAAAAGCAACGGTTCCTTTATCAAGTAACGGCCAATTAGTTACTTTTTCTCTCAAGTGATCAGTTATATAATAGACCTTTTGCTAAATTGCCCAAGCACCAAGCAGCATGCTGCGAGTGTAGTTACCCGCGCTGCACGTGCTGGCGTCTGCACTATACTAACTGTTCTAAAGCCTAATAAAACTACGGGGATGAAGGAAAGCAACATGATCGGCAAAAAGGACGAGGACGCGTGACAAAACGTCGTTCCTGTCGTCAGCCTTTCTGCCGTTCACTTGGCTTTCCTTTACACCCGGAACTGCACCAGCACGCTCTAATTTGTCAAGTCTACTAAGACAAATGGCATCTTGCACGCGCGTTCGTCAAAGCCTTATTTCGGTCGTTTACTCGGAATTCCTTATACGGGGAAGGCGAGAGGGCGTGCGGCGTGTAGACCTACATTCCCGGCATTCTCCTTGATGACTTGGATAATTTAGCAATAGCTCTATCGAATTATTTATAAATAAGATGAATTGTAGTAGTAATCGATTACTTTTTTCGAGGAACGCATGTACGAGACTGATTTAATGTCACACCTCTGTGGTGCGGCTGCTGTCAGCACGGGTATATACGTGGAGGATTCGCTTCACGCAAAATCTCGTTTCTGCGAGCTCATATAGTGCCCACACCGGTTGCGGGGGAACGCGAAGCTGTTCGTAAAAAGATCACTCATGTTATCTATGCGCCGGCAAAGTGAGGGAGAGGAGGAGACGAGAGCGCGCGGTGACGCCATGAGAACGCCGAGCTCTGCCGGTTGGAGTGATTAGTGGGTAGACCTAAAGCCGGGGTCGCACTGCTTATACACCATGTACATAAGATAGTCTGCAAACACGAGTCACCGCAATATCCGTGGTCCGAATGCCGCGTTACAAGTTTCCTCCTTGAAGTCATTGTCATGCGGCATTCGAAGCATGGATCTCGCGGTGACCCGCATTTCGAATCTGTAGGCAGACTGCTTTTTGTACGATGTATAAGGAGTGTGCTCTGCACTCGTCGAACGTGTTAAAGGCTGTACTCTATGGGACGAATATTCTGCGAAGAAGCGACGAATTTGGCATGGCGGCCTTTGCTCTGCGCGTAGCATCAGCACAGTGACGTCGCAAGCGAAGGGAGTGTGCCGTCGGGCGACATTCGTCAGTTGTTCGTCGCATAATTCTGTCCACGTCGACGTCGGGCGTTTGGGTCTCGTATTCGAACACGTTCGACAAGTGCAATGGAGGTAAAGGCCAGCTAACTTTAGTTCCACTACTGATTCCGACCCGAGCTCGGCGTTTTGACTTTCCCGCTTGCTCTGTCGAGCCCTCCTTACACATCGCCTCGCGGCGCACCGCCGGCGGCCCAAGTGCGCCCGAGCCCCGCTGTCCACCATTTTACCCCGGGTACTATATGTGTTACGTCACGCCGTCTCTCTCTATAACCAGCCAATCCTGTGCGGCCGCCGTCCTTGATGCACACGCCAAGTGACGTGATCTGCGAGCACCAGGGAAATGAGGGGTTTCGGGAATGTTAACCCGGCGGAAAAGTTCCGAGAAGCTTCATTCATTATGCTTTGTTACAGTATAATAACCACCGCGCGAAATGCTCACGCATTTCTTCGAGAATCAGCGTGGCGGCAGCAGCGATTTTGGCCCATTTTTCTTTCCTCTCAATGAACGTATACGCTTCTACTACTTCGACTGAATACGACAGACTCGCCGTGCACAGAGTCACCTAACCTCTGTTCGTGGTTCTGCGAACGCTGCCTTGCAGGAAAGTGCCGAAGATTCGAGGACACCGGTGGCCCAAGTTCACCAACCGGTGGCCGCTGTTCCTGCACCTGAACCCCAGCAATTTCTCCCTGGGCTGGGAGCCTCACGCCGACAACTGCAAGGTCTGGGACCGCTTCATCAAGGTGACGCCGGACTTTGTGTCAACGAGGAACGACGACAACGAACGGACTGCCTAAGAAGGATGGCGACGGTTGTGGTTCGTGAAACATTACTTTGCAGTGCCTGTGACCCCAGTGTGCCGTGCAATGTTCGCGACGCGCCGGATGTGGAGGACTCAGCTACACACCTCGGGTACAACGTGGTCTAAAAAGATCAATCCAACACGTGAACTGTGTGCGTTCGGTCGGAAGACTGCTGTTATTGTTTTTGTTGTTTTTAGGCAAAAACCATGAACGTGCAGTGTTGATTTCAATGTCCTCTGCATGTGGGTACGATGTTTGTTATGCCGAAGCCCTATTAGCGTCATCCGGCAAGGAAAAAAGAATTCGATGTAATATCACCTGTGACTGTTATACTTCTTTTTACGCGAACGCTCGCTGAGGTATTGTGTAAAAAGGAATACGGAGGGGCGCAATAAATGAACTGGTGCTAACATACAGAGAGAGAGAGAGAATGAGAGCTAGATTTGTACACACCCTTACTGAGGGGCACGCCCTGCTGTGTTGAATCTGTCGGCGATTGACAGCATCTCTTGAAGAGAAGTGCCGTTTCTGTATTTTTGCCCACGTCACAACCTCGCCACAAATCGCGATGCTTTGATTGGGCGGCAATGCCCGAGTAAACGAAATGTTTTAAAGCAGAATGTGTTATACACGAACTCAGCTTTTTCACATTATGGCGGAAATCACCATGCAAGATGTTTGTTAAAAAAAAAAAAAATCAGGAAAAAAAGGTGGCTTTTTGTTAAAACGTCCCAACTGTGGCTGCACCCAAATAGTCAGGAAACGTTTGAAGGTCAGTTGTCACGTGTTTTCTGTCTGCTCGGTTCGTCCGAGAACTGGGATAGGGGCCGTGAACTTGAAAAGGAAAACCAGACGCCGTCGGCCCACGATTGCTTGTGCGGAAAGCACTTTGGGTTAATACTTGTGGTCGTCAGATTTATTTGTTTTGTTCCGACATGAACGCTGGAAAAGCGCCAAGTTGTACCGACCCCCTGCGGAATACGTTCAGTGCGTCTTCAAGTTCAAACAGCTGCCTGATCATTCAAACTGTCGTCTGCTCTTTCAAACGTTTCTGCTTGTGGTCGTCTGCTCGCTCAACGTTCAAACGACAGCGGCCTGCAGACCAAACGTTGACCCGGTAGTTGCGATAAGAAGTAAGTGCAGGCCTTAACAGACTTTTAAGTTTGAGGGTATGTTGAGGAAAGTAGGATTGGTGTAAGCAGTAGATACAAGGAAATGTTGATAATTGTTACCAGTGGCCATCACCGACTTGTCATGCCTGCTTTACTCGGTCCAATTCTGCTTACGATTTTCAGCATCGATGTCGACCATCTCAGCTACGGCTCACGCTTTTGCAGCCTGAGCGACGTCATGACTGAAAATAGCGAGCAGAATCTCATCATGCGAATCAGGCTTTAGCGTCCATTCTGCGGCATCCACGCGGAAGGAATCGTCGCATGTCACATAATTCACGCAAAGTTTTGCGGTGTAACGATTCTCGTTAATTTCACTGAGGCCGCTGAAGTAGTCAGACATTGCCAGGAAGACGTAGAATCAACAAGCCCAACGCGAAAAAGAGCACGCGCGGGGACTCACACCGACGCCGGCAACATCTCATTCGAATGGTTTGTTTATGGGCGACGGCGATCCTCTTGCCCACACTCCATCGCGCATGCGCGGCGCCGGTGGTGTCTGCTAGAGGCGCTCGTTTTTTTGTTTTTTTTTTTTCTCTTTTTTTGTAGACAAGAGTTCTTCTATAGGGATGAATTTTATAAAATTGTGTACCATTACAAAAGAGCGTCACGAACAACTGTCACACGGCCGCTAAATTTGGCGGGCAAGGTATCGCCTACCTAATTTAGCTCCTCATCACTCCCCCAAGTTAAACAAAACTCCCCGCCTCCCCAAAAAACAACAACAAAAACACACCCACCCATTTGAGCCTAAAACATGTTGCACATATTATCTCCGAATTTTTTTCCTTAGATTCATCTACGCTTTTATTTGGTCTGTATGAAATGTTGTGGTTTGGTGGATGATGATATGATAATTCTTTTAAGCAGTAATAGCGTACACAAATTTTAGACACCCCTAATTGTAGGTATATTTTATATTGTTTTCTCATAGATATATTACATGTGCATATCACTTCACACTTCTCTTCTATGTTCACTAGTACTCTAGTACATTTGTGTTTATACTTGCCAACGAAACCAAGCCCTTCAGCTACGTCCGATGATTCGTCACTACTCCGGCGACCTACACGAATCGTCACTTTCGGGAAAAATAGCTGCCTAAAACAGGACGCGTTCTGCCGGTGTAGTACGCGGAAACTACTATCACTACAGTAGAAGTTATTGCGTACGCCGAAATCACCACGGTAGTTGTTTTGGCGCACGCAATAGCCACTACCGTACTCTTTTCCACCGTACCCCAAATTCACTACTCTCACGCCGAATTCAATACCTCTAAACTTTTCGCGTTGGTTTTGAATTTTGCTTAAACTAGCGAAAGAACGTTCCTCACTCAACCACCATGATCACTATTCACTACACTGACGCCGAATTTTGAATTTCGCGTAATCTAGAGAAAGAACGTTCCTCACAACCCCTCCAAAAGAAGCAGACGAACTTGCTCTCTGCATAAACCTGGCGAGTTTTTTTAGGCCTGTCATGTTCCAAATCATTACAAAATCAAAATCGTATCATTCTGCAAACGATTCAAACTGTTACAGCGGGCATACTTGAATCATTCATTGTGCGTTCGTCACGGGATTGTCGTCTGCAGCAGGCATCTCGAGGACCGGAAGTTGTCGTTGCAAAAATTTCAGGTACAGCCGATTTTCAGCAAACGTCTGTCGTGGAAAGTGTGTAAACCTAGGCTCCCTATTTCTATTCTTTTTTAGACGTCTAAATTCCACGTCCGATTTTTTTTTTTTTACCGATCGTTCTTTCGATGCGAAATCCAGTTCCATGTATTCGTCTATAACAAGGCCGCTAGCAACGGTTTGTTTGGAGCGGTTGCGTCACACCCTTACGGGGTCGATTAACACAAAACGGCTCTTTTTTGTTTGTTTTTTGTGAGCGTTTTGTTCAGTGGGGCTTTTCTAGAATCGGGCAATCGCGGCTGCTTCGGAGAGAAGACACCGAGAAACCGGCCCGGGTGCCTTGAGCTAATAGCACTTCGAAGACAAGGCCCGGACATGACGTAATCATTAGTGGATCCTCAACGAGAGTACGTCACAAAGCGGCAGGCGCGTGCATCTGGTGTCGCCGCGTGTTAGCGTCACATTCGTTAGATACTTTCGTTGTGAGATGCTACAAGACGCTGGTGGCGACGCTGACGCGAAGCGGCGCTGCGTGCATCAACTAGAAACTAAACATTTGAGAGAAATCTCTCTGGTTGGGGAATAGAATAATTAAAATATGGCAACCAACCAATTCCTAAACATGTAGGGGCCCTACGTTTCGAACCGACTCGGTTCTTCGTCAGGGGCGACTGTGGCCGTTGAGGAGCGACGTTTCTCGATCTTCTTCTTTCATGAATATGGCGAAGCCCGTTCACATACACTGTTGGTAAAGCACCAGGGCAGCCAGGACTCGACGAAAAGCCTATGTCGGTTGTTAGTCTCTGCGTCGATAATGCTGGTGTTGTCGAAGTCAATCCGGTGGTCTTTGACTTCGGAGTGCTCGGCGACTGCGCTGCGCTCCTGGTCGAGCTTGCGAACGTCGTTTTTGTGTTGGCGTATTCTTTCATTAAAATTCTTTGTCTCGCCGATGTAAGTGGCTGGACAATCTGCACAAGGGATCTTATAAACACGCCCTGCGTTTTTTCTTTCGGAGGGCGATCTTTTGGACGGGGCATGAGTAATCCAAGCGTGGACATCGACTTGTGGGCTACGCGGATTCCTTCTTTGGCTAGCCGCGTGCAAGCGCCTCGCTTGTTCCTCTGATGTAGGGTACGCAGATGCGCGAGGTTGGGCGTGGCTGCGTACAGGCTTGGGGTTGCTGTTGTCTTTGACCTCGAGCTTGACGACGGGCAACGCTTTGGATGAAGGTGCTCGTGTATCCGTTCTTTTTCAGATCAGCACGGACGGTTTTTTCTTCCTTTCTTCTGTCATCCTCAGAGGAGCATATAGCCTTCGTCCTAGACAGCAGTGTCCTAACCACCGATGCTTTGTGGCAGGCTGGGTGATAGGAATCAAACTGGAGATAACGTCCAGTGTGCGTGGGCTTCTTGTAGACTGAAAACTTCAAATTTTCTTTTTCTCTTCTCACGAGCACGGTATGTGGACGACTGCTTCTGCATCCTTCAAAGATCTGAAGTGGACAGATTCCTCTCACACCTCAACTCCATCGAACTAGTGCCACTAAATAAGCTACGCTTCAGAGTAACGACACTTCGCCATATTGTGGCTTAAAATCATTGTTGCCAGTTATCTGAAGCTTTATCTGAAATCACAATAAACACTTTTCCGCCCTCCAGAACTGTTTAGACAGTTCACGACGGAGCAAAGCAATATTACAATAGCTTCCGAACACCGAATCTAATGCTGAGGAAGTCGCACTTTTGAATCATGACGATCGGCAGCTGCGTCTGCTCTGCATACGAGCCAAAATGGCGGCGCCCACAACAATGTCGGGGAACAGAGTGCCGATACTCTAAGCGCAGCTTATTCAGTGGCTCTACATCGAACCGGCTATCCAATTTACAGCGGAACTTGAAAAAGACAATTCATTGCCTTTTCTGGACGTGCTCGTGAGAAGAGAAAAAGAAAATTTGAAGTTTTCAGTCTACAGGAAGCCCACGCACACTGAACGTTATCTCCAGTTTGATTCCTATCACCCAGCCTGCCACAAAGCATCGGTGGTTAGGACACTGCTGTCTAGGACGAAGGCTATAGACGCTTTCAGCGCGCGCCAAATCGAGCCGCCATAGCCGACCTTCTCTTGTCTTACCGAGAGGCCGAGCCACTGAAGCGGGCGTTGACGAGTATCCACAAGGGCCTATGCTGGGGAGAAGGACACAGTAACACTTCACATGGCAATAACCTGTCCTGCTGTGGTAATGATGAAGTGGAGCGAACGGAATAAGAGGGAAGAAAAACTGAAGGTCGGTTATGGCGGCGCCCATGCACAGCTGCCTGAAAGCGTCTATATGCTCCTCTGAGAATGACAGAAGAAAGGAAGAAAAAACCGTCCGTGCTGATCTGAAAAAGAACGGATACACGAGCACCTTCATCCAAAGCGTTGCCCGTCGTCAAGCTCGAGGTCAAAGACAACAGCAACCCCAAGCCTGTACGCAGCCACGCCCAACCTCGCGCATCTGCGTACCCTACATCAGAGGAACAAGCGAGGCGCTTGCACGCGTGCTAGCCAAAGAAGGAATCCGCGTAGCCCACAAGCCGATGTCCACGCTTGGATTACT